ATCCACGATCTGTTAGCGTTTTATCATAATTCTAATGCTAAAGGTTCTGCTAAATCAGGCTGAATGTAAAGCCAAGCGGACCCTGCTGGGTCTGTGCACCAGTCTCTGCAGGCCGGAGGCGCTAACGCTCATGTGAATCCCAATGTGCTGCGGAGAGGTGGTGGTAGGCTGTGCACAAGAACGTGCAACCTCACGTCACTAGTTGTGCGATGTCATCGTATATAACAGGCTCATCATTAGGCCATGTGCAGGATTACTGTCCTGGTTTTAGCAGAACTGTTTCTCCAGTCTGCACCGGAAACGGCGCTCCTCCCCTCCTTGACTCAAAGGTCACCAGCTGCATTTCCAAAAATGTTTTACCACAAACTGTTAAAATCGTTTAGCTTCCTTATATGATCATTTATAAGACAATCTAACTGCTTAATGAGGTCTTCAAACCTGTCACTTCTTATTTTGTATACCCACCGCCACTTATGGAGCGCACCGTTTTAAGAGCAGGCAGTTAACCTGACATGAATATTTGTGTATGTGAAAACCAAAGCATGCATGGGTAGAACATGCAAACTCCATTCAGAAAGGCTGCAGTAGGGTTTTGAACCAGCAACCTTCTCACTGCGAGGCAACAGTGTTCCCTAATGCACCACAATACACTTGGTTCAGAGTTTTATAAAAATCAGCAGTAAAGGTAATTGTGTTGTAAACCCGTCCCATGTCAGAGTGAAATAAAGTTATTTCTTATAAAATCATAATCTGCTTTTATTTAAATTTAAAAAATCTAAAACAACTATAGCATAAGGCAGCAGGTTCATAGTCTTTCTAGACTATAGAAGCTAACCATTAGCTTTAGCATTAGTGTCTCCACAACACTACAGAACGCTATCAGGCTTGTGCTCTTTGTGGAGATGAAACATCAACGTCGCAAAGCAAACAGTCTGGTAGAGTTGTGTTGCTGTTGTTAGAACTCTCCAAATCCTGTCGTCTTCTGATCAACTCTGAATGTGCTAACTTCTAGCTCCTGAAAAAGGAGTGCTAGAGCTCCTTTCCCCACAGAGATGGACTCACAAAGGCATTCATTTATACTAGAGAGCACAACAGATGTGTACTTGGTCTTTAAGACAATGTGTTTCCTATTACTCTGTTACAAACCAACTTTTGTTATGACTATTAGCATTATTTACTACTATTATTTGGCTGCATCTGTCAGACTTCTAATATAGAAACTTTGATTTCAGTAGCATGAACATGTTGCCGCGTGGTTTAGGACAGATCCCAGGACAATCGTCAGTAAAACGACAACAATTAGCATTCTGCTAGCATTTCAAATCAAGAGTGAATCCTGAGAAACTTCATCAGTTCAACATCAACTGTGAATAAAACTGAAACTATTTAATTTAAGTTTCAACATTTCAGAAAGATGAACCACGATTTGGAAAATGTGTCCCATCCAACTAATAATCAGCATGCTAAATCATAAACACTAGCTAGTTTCTTTAGCTACGCCTATTAACTTTTGATTAACATCAAACATAATACAATGCAGTACTTACAATACAGTTTTGTCAAATATTGACTATTTTTGTCCGGACAAGCTATAGTGACACCACAACTATTTATTTTTTATCAATTTGATAAAATTCTGATTTTCAACACGTCATTACACCACCACCATGCAAATTGTAATGAAACATTAACTGAATTAATAGTTACGTAAAAATAGTTTACAATACTAATTTTCTCCAGCAATCCTCAAGCCACTATCTGGTTTATGTTTATTGTCCAGCAATAATTAAGACAAACTGACCCTCTTGGGTCCAACTTCTTCAGAAGAGGTCTACTCTGTAATATCCTGGTTCTACTGCAGAACAGGATCTCAGCTGCAATGATCAAAAACATAAAGAATGAATCAATGTGTCACGTTTCTATTTCATATTAAAGAATCATCACAGTGAACAAGCGGAGGAGTCGTATTTATCTGGGCAACTTCATCGTTTTCATAGAAATGAAAACTTTCTCCGATGTTTTGATCTTTGTCTTTTACAACAAGCCTCCGTCAACAAGATAACACAAATCCACTTCCACTTGCTGTCCTGCTTTTGTGTCGCCACTCAGTCTTTATCCTCACTAGCAACTCGAACAATAGTTTGCAGTTTGGGAGTGTTCTTCAAAAATTGCCTCAAAATTGGATAGATTTGCAGTCTGTGCTCAGAGTAAAATATGACTGAAATGTAAAACCATCATTTTAGCGTTTGACCTGAATTTCTCTGTAGTTTGATTGTTGCCCATTTTATTGCTCAGCTCTAGCAGCTATAATCAATGAGTTTTACTTTGTGCTTCATGGAGAAAAGTCACTTAGCGACCTCTCGGTATCACCACTCGTTGTGAAAGTGGCAACTCAAGCTGTGCTGATCTGTTCGCTGCTTCTTCCCTGACCTCCTTAACTAAATCCCACATCACCCAGGAAAGGTGGACGCCTCAACTCCGGGTTTCTCCACCACGACACAAACCATTCTGAGCGCTAGGCGAGTGCTGTGCCACGAGACCAGCAGGTAACACGCCATGACGGGGAGGGTGGGGCTCCTCTGAGTCTTCAATTGCTGTCTGGACTCTCAGAGAGAAGCCACATATTGATCTCGCCGTGGCAGTGCAAACACTTAATGCACTCCTTCATATCACAGCTGATCTTTAGAAGATTTTTACATGTGCATAAAAGCATGAGCTATTTGCATCTTAAGATGCATCATATCTGCAAAATCCCATAAAAGGCAGGTTCAGAGCTAGCGCCAGCTTGCTGCTGCCTGCACACGTGATCAAACACACAAACCTGTCATAATTTCATGCATCTGTCCCACTGACCTAAAGAAGCTCTCATCTACTCATTTATTAATTTGACCAAGCTTTAGAGATCCTATGGGACTGGGCTTGGCTCTGTGACACTGGATCCATAACACACCCCCACACACACACGCACGCACGCGCACACACACACACACACACACACGCGCACACAGTGAGGGAGAGTCACATTTAAATTTTCAAAGCTGTGTTGCTGAGGCAGCGAGGTTACATTAGCTAGTCAAACACAACGTTCACAAAGGACGTCCAGATCATATACACATCAAAGAAATGTTACAGATGTAGTTTAGAAAGTACTACAGAGCACTTTAAACACTGTGACAGGAGTATAAAGTGAAACTCATTCTAGTTTGCATGTGTATGTGGATTCCGGTGTGACAGAAAACAGTTCAGATACAACGTGCCATTTTCACAACTTTCCTGTGTCCTTTTCTGCTGGGACAACATCAAAATGCTGACCCTAGTCTATTTGGACACTGGTGGAGATTTATATTAGATAGGTGGAAATGTTTGAGCCACACATTTGCATCAGAATACGGACTGTATTCTCCACTGTACACTCCACCTCCCTCACTCGTTCAAATCTGGGCTAACATCAGAATTTAACCATAGGCTCTATCAAATCCAAATGGCTCATAGAAAACATAACTGCAACAGCTCAGTAAGCAAATAAGCTGCAATATTTGGATGCATTTACTGCATGGGTTGCAAATTGGCACCAAACAGCTTTTGTTTTCATTTCAGATCTCTGTGGTTAGGAATCTGGACCAGACGGACGTCACGCCAAACTTTAAATGCCTGCTGAAGGCGTTGCACGCTTTATTGTGACATCTACTTATGAGATGAATGACTTGTTTACGCTTTTTCTTTCTGCAAAGCAATGCATGTTCTTTGGTCTGTGGGAGGAAATGACATGCATGCATGGAGGGAGCACGCCAACTCCATGCAGAAAAGTATGAATCTTGTAGCTGCAAGGTAACTGTGCCAGCCTACAGCCAAATATTTGTCTAGTAATGACTCACTTTGAATAGCATCATGTAGTTTATGTAAATCACAAATCCCAGAAATGACAAGTTTAGTGAACCTGGTGAGTTGCAAAAACCACCAGTAGGATGAACAATGCAGCAGGTCAAACGGTCCAGCCTGGAAAGAGGGGGGGTGTCTGTTTCTCTCATTTAGTTCCTTAGAAATACATCAAACATCGTATGATGGGTAAATTATTTGAAGAAGCAGGTGATCACAGGTTATTGCTGCTCTACTCATTATGCCTGGAGCAGAAAAAAAGTAACTGCATCTGTGCCCTACTTGTTTTGTTTTCCACCAACCTGCACACAAAAGGCACCAGAACTACAACAGGTGAATAATTCAACACAAACTGTAACTCAATCCTCTCATCGTGGCTTTTTGGAAATGATGGAAATTTACCCAGTGGTGGCTTCTAAAGGAGGCAGTGAACCCACTGCTCAGGAGGGTCATCATCATGGCAGCAAAGATTTGGGGTGAAATGAAGGAATCTCCCCTGATCAGTTTAACCACTACCCAGCCATGGTGTTGATGGTAGGATGGAAATCCACGTGAGGAGGTGTAAACACCGACTTCTGGTAATTTCCCGCTAAGCTGGTGCTTTAAATAAACGTTACATCACACGCACCTGAAATAGTCCCACAAACCGACCTCTGTTGCTCTGGATCGTGACTGCCAGTCCTTCCAGAGGAAAATGATGGCATTTAAAGTAATTCTGTCATTAGTTTAAAGAAAAGAGAAAATATGGGCGTTTCTGAAGCGCACGGCTCTTCTCCAGACTTAAAATGAAACTTGCAAACAGCTCCAGCGGCTGACGTTGGTCCTAAATGTTGCTTCAGAGGAGTCTAGGACCACTCTCTGAAACATCACCGAACAATACACATGCTTACATAAACGCATTTGAGGCGTTCAAACGCAGAGGTTGATGCTCCGCTTAGACACAACTTTATCGATCGGTAAAATAACACCATGGCTCGTCACGTATGAGCATAAAAACTGATTGCTGACACGTCAGGAATTCTCCATTTAGCAGCTCGAAGCGCAGCATTTAGCTTCAGCCAGGCTAATCAGAAGCTAGCGTTAGCCGAGGCTACTAGCAGCCGGAGTGTCCGTTTACTTCTTACCTTCGGCGCTCTCACAGATGTTCTCGTCGTCCCGTTAAGTTTCCCGAGGAGTACGAACATGTAAAAAGGGGATTTAAATTCAGAATCACTCATTTTTAACTTTTGAACATATTCGCAGGTAGCTGTTAACACAGGATCTCTAACCGGACCACTAACGACAAAGTAATTCCTCCACCACTTACAACGTCCAACAGCAGCGTGAGCCCGCCCCTCTAACAAGTTAGTCCAATCACAGAACCGGGATAGCCTAAAGGGCAGGGATGCTAACCAATGGCAGCACCCAGGGACCTTGACTGATTTTACCCAGTAGAGTAAACACCAAATGAGAGCAGTGTGAAACATGCTCTTGCCAGCAGCCAATGAGTGTGGCTCAGGGGCAAAAGTGGCAGGTGCTTCTGGGGCGGCCTCACTGGCTGAGTGAGGTCATCCTGGATGATGTAAACCACACGTCATTAATGATGCCAAGAAACACACAACACAGCTGTTATACGATTTAAAACTTTAATATTCCTCAGATTATAAAAACACAAGATCACTGTAAAATGCAAACATTTGAGGAAACCCTGGAACCCATAAACACGTACAATCAATCTGAATGATGAATGTAACACAAAACCTCACTAGAGAGACCGACCTTTTCTTGTTTTACAGTATCATAGAAAAAAAACTGCAAACTCTGTTAGCCCAATTTATTTCTGTATGATTCCCTTCTCATCAAGGGTTGCTGTGTGTAAATTAAAACTGTAACTTAAAAATATTGTACAAGGGATTGAAAGATATTTAATAATGAAAATATGAGAAGACGCCTGTCAATGTGACACAACAGTTTCTTTTTAACGCCGTCTCCTGTCTGGACTCCTGCTACGTCGTCGCCCACCACCCCTGTGAAAAAACAGAAAAAAAGATAAATATTGTATTCCACTACATAAAGAAGATAGATTACATTTGTTGGCATTTTTTTAACTGACTGAATAAAAAGTAATGGAAAAACAATTAGAGGAATGTTATTTATAGCAACATTCAAAAGCTGTGCTGAGTTCACATTCATACAGTAAAAGATTTTTTATTTCTTGCCTCCTTTTGTTCTTGGGGGGGCCTCTGACAAACGCCCAGTCGACACTGATAGTCTGGCCCATCAGATCCTGACCATTGAGACCTTCCATGGCTGCCTGTGCCTCTTTGTATGTCTCATACTCCACCAGCGCATAGCCCTGAATATTGGTGCAAAAATCATATAGATAAATAAATTATATTTAAAAACAACGATTTCTAAAGATCCATGGTCTCTTAAACCCAAAAATTTCTAAAAGTGCATGAAATATTGTAGCATTGCTATTGTAGCATTGTTGTGTGGAGGAGTACAAGGTGTGTGAATGGATGTAGGGTTGTCACGGTAACCGGTATAGCGGTAAACCCCGGTAAAAAAGTTGACAATAAAAATAACCGTCCAGTTTTTAAAAAACTAAATTATCTCGGTGGGTTTACCGTGGCCGCGGTTTTGGCGCGGTGACCCTTACCAGCCACCGTCGCTTCAGCTGAAGTTCCCGCGGCGCGCACACGCACTTTTTAGTTTTCAACGGCACCAAAACTTTGAAGCTGAAATAATGGCCGAAGGAGGAGACGGCAGCGCCCAGGACATCCATCAGCCCTCAAAGAAGACTAAATCGGAAGTATGGGCATATTTTGGATTTCTGAAAAATGCTGAGGGACAGTTAATAGAAGACGGCTATCCCGTTTGCAGAACGTGCAGGAAACAAGTGTCTGCAGAAGGCAGCAACACTTCGAATCTCATGGCACATCTGCGTGACCATCACCCACGTCTCTACAGCCAGTGCAAGGTAAGTTAACATTAGCATTTTAGCTTAAATGCATGACGTGAGGACTTTTGGCTGAGGGAGAATGCAACGAGTCACTATATACTGCAGCCGCAGCGTCCTCTGCCAGCATTTAAACCGTGTCACGGACACCCTGTTGCTGGATGAAGCATCTTATTTGTTGATGATGAAGAGAAATATACAATTAGTTCCTTGTCATTGATTTGTTTACTTATTCAATGCCATTTATACTTAAACATTTGGATTTGATTACATAGTGTGGTAGTTATTTTAGTAATTTGTTTAAAGTGGCTATTTATTTTAAATACATATTTTTTAAGGTTGACTTGTACAGTGCTCAAGTCAAGTGTGGACTGGAGTTTTAGATTTTCATTTTGATAATGAAGAAAACAAGTATATGAGAAAACAAGTGGTTTCTTTGATTTGTTTACATATTGTTTATGTTTTGAATGTTTGGATTTGTATAATTTAAACCTGCACTGACTACTGTAACATGTTCCAGAAAAATAAGCTATTTGTTCCTTTACTTGTGAAAAGTTGCACTTTTGCTAAGGCTTTGTGTTATTTTAGGTTTAATAAACACTGTTAAACCTTTTCAAAACTATTTCAGTTTGTGTGGAACAGGACTATCAATGCTTTCTGAACATATGCAACACCGTTTAAAAAATACAGCGATAATACCGAAAACCGTGATAATTTTGGTCACAATAACCGTGAGGTTAAATTTTCATACCGTGACAACCCTAAATGGATGCATGACCACTGAAGCGTAAAGCGCTATTTTTTAAATTGATTATGAATTTTAAGTCTTTAAACACATAATGCACGAACATTCTGTTTAACACCAAATAACCAGCAATAAAAATGGCCAATGAAAATGCAAATTCATGATTTGAGATTACTACCGAAGTAAGGCAATGCTGCCACCTTGTGGCTGAGAAAGATATTAGCATCTACCTGAACTACTCTTCCTTACAGCTTGTTTAGGGTTGTCACTGTAACCGGTGTAGCGGTAAACCCCGGTAAAAAAGTTGACAATAATAACAACTGTCTTGTTTTTAAAAACTATATTATCTCAGTGGGTTTACCGTGGCTGCGGTGTAGGTGCGGTGACCCTTACCAGCCACCGTATCATCTGCTGAAGTTGCCAGCGGCACATGCACGCTTTGTTGTTTACAACCAAAACTTTCTTGAATCTAAAGCTGAAATAATGGCCAAAGGAGGAGACGGCAGCGTTCAGGACATTTATTATCCCTCAAAGAAGACAAAGTGGGAAGTACAGGCATCTTTTGGATATTTGAAGAATGCCGAGGGACAGTTGATAGAAGATGGCTATCCTGTTTGCAGCACGTGGAGAAAAGGTGTCTGTGAATGGCAGCAACGCTTCAAATCTCATGACACTTCTGCGTGACCATCACCCACAACTCTACAATCAACGCAAGGCAAGCTAACGTTAGCGTTTTAGCTAAGATGCGTGATCCGAGGATTTGGGTTGAGGGAGAATGCAATGAGTCGCTATATAAAGCAGCCGCAGCGCCACTACCTGCATATAAACAGTGTCACGGACACCCCCCTGTTGAAATGACGCTATGCATTACGGGGCTCCCAGGGGCAGATAAGAGTTGGTCTCTCTCCGAGAATAATTATGAATTTCTTCCCGAAAAACTTCCCGATGATTTTCCCAAATCTGCAAAGCTCACTGGAAGGACACAAACCAAGGACAATGTTTTCCTGATATACAGGGTTTATTTAGTTGTCTGAAAATGTAACACGTTTAAAAAAATACCACAATACCGAAAACCATGATGATTTTGGTCACAACCCCAGTGTTAACTAATGGTAAATGGCCTGTATTTGATATAGCACCTTCTAGAGTCCTGGAACCCCCCAAGGCGCTTTACAACACAATCAGTCATTCACCCATTCACACACACATTCACACACTGGTGGGGATGAGCTACGATGTAGCCACAGCTGCCCTGGGGTGCACTGACAGAGGTGAGGCTGCCGAGCACTGGTGCCACCAGTCCCTCTGACCACCACCAGCAGGCAACGTGGGTTAAGTGTCTTTCCCAAGGACACAACGACAGACTGAGCGGGGCTTGAACCTGCAACCTTCCGATTATGGGGCGAGCACTTAACTCCTGTGCCACCGTCGCCCCACTAATACCACATTTATCGGCATGACTTGTACCAACAGCTAAAGGGAAGTAGTGCTAGAATAATATCCTGATTCTTACTTAAGTCTTTATCACTTAGGAATTCTTGGTGTATCTTTGATCATTTAATTTAAAAAACATGCCTGGGCAACAAAATTATTTAAACAAAGATCAACAGAAACTACGTATTTACATTTTTATTCTATCAAAAAAGCCAAAAAGTGAAACACAAATTCGCTGACAGCTTTGTGGTTTCCTGTCCTTACCTTCAGATAGCCTGTTCTACGATCAAGGTTGAGATGCAGGTTTTTGATTTCTCCAAACTCTGAAAACTTGTCATGAATGTCTTCCTCAGTGGCTTCCTCGTGTACACCGGTCACAAACAGGATCCAGCCCTCCACAGCTGCACAAAAAAGGAACTCAGTTCAAATAAGCAGCCACCAGTGAAGCAACACTACAAAAATCTACTGTAAAATGACAATTTTGACTTTTAAAAATACTTATCGAGTTGCAGCAAAAGGGCAAGTTTAATAGAATAAACTCAAGAGGCAGTCTAGAATTTTGTTCCAATTAGGGTTGTGCTTGTGAATAAGTAAAGTTAACATAAGCAGTTCAAGCGTGAACAATGATGCAGAAAACACGTAGAGAGCAAGTCTGGAACTTACATCTCTGAGGACCTGGCTCATCCCCGTCTTGTTCCACTGTATCATAGTCCTCTTTAGCTCTGGACCTGGCTCCCTCCTCTGGAATTCACAACAACAAAAAGGATTAAATACATTAAATACAAAAACAAAAGGCTCTGTGGGGTCCAGTTGGGAGAGCCAATGCTCAGTTCACACTGTGCAATTTTCGGCCAAATCCCTCATCGCGAGCAGAATCGTGACAATAAACGGTGAACGCGAGGAGGATTTGCTGTGGACATTCAGTGCGACTGGCACTGTGACAGCTTTTGAACCGTCTCACAACCAAAGACAGCCTCCAACAGTCTTTAAGCACTGCTCGAACACCTACGACTCTGCAATCGACCAACAAAAACACACCTTTGGGATTTCACAGCAACACTCTGCTTCTCTGAGCTTCGGCTTCAATTGATGCGGATTATAAACTACACTAGGGCTGCTCAATTAATCAAATTTTAATTACAATTATGATTTGGGTTTTGAGTAATAATAAAGACAAAATGGGCCAATTACTTGCTCCTCCCTTATGCACTGCTCTGAGATACAAATTAAGTGCACCTCACACACGGTCGACAACTTAGCGACTTTGTCGCTATTCCTAACAGCTTTTCAGACCCCTTTCTTGACTTCTTATTCTGAAAGTATCTAGTGAACAACTTAGTAACATTTCTGATAACGCTTGGCTACTTTCTGTGGAACTTTGTCGTTGATATTTCCTGCAGGTTAGCAAAACATAAGGAAAGGGAAGGAAGTGCGCATGTACTGCGTCGACTGTTTAATCATAAACCTTTCTCGATGGATCTCACTCGCTAAAACATCTATTTTACAAGGTAAGTAAACTCAAGACACAGCGACCCGTATATGAAGTGGGTTTATATTTTATCAGAGCTACAAATAATTGTTCAAATCATCTCTGAGCAACAAATTGCATCGTGCAAGGAGGCAAGACGACTCTCCCTTGCCCTGCCTCCAACATGCCTCCATCTAAAAAGGCTAGGTTATCCAGAGTTATCTGCTATAGGCTTAGACTGCTGGAGGACACACTGACCACTTTCCACACTCTATTACTTTCTTGTACAATCTGTTCTTTAACTGTATTATTTCCTGCAATTTCAACTGTTAACTTTATTTTTTCTCTAAGTATTTTTCTCCCCAGAAGAAGCTACAATGATGTTCTGCTGAGCTGTGGTGGCCTCATGGAGGGGGCCATCGTCTTGAACACTGTTGCTAACCACTTAATCATTATCTCTCCTGATAACACTTTACTTCCCTTGACATTGAATGTGCTACTACTAGTTTATCCGTGTAATTATAGATTCACTAGGATAAATACAATAAAGCTTATCTCTCACTGTAGCTGTCGCAGTTAAATGTGGTTATTCATTGTCATTTGTTTGATTTAACTGTGGAAATATTTAATTTAATTTCTTTGTTGATTTGACGCCACCTGCTGGCTGGATTGAAATTTGACACTGGAAGGTGCGCGCGAGCGGAGCGAATGATTAACTGACACAAGCACGGAGAAGCGACCAGAAGAAGCTCACATCGGATAAAGAAAAGTGGACATGGACTGAAATTGCTTGTGAATATTAAGTGGAGAGGCGCACACGGTGTGTTTGTATATTTATCTGTATTGCATTAATATCTGAGTTATAAGTTTATGTTTCTAAAATTAATATTTGTGTTTATTGTTGTTCATTTCACCGTAGTTTTTCACGGTGTTTGCTGGTAACAAGAAGATAAAGAACCAGTTGAACATCAGTTGGAGCATGGCGTTTTATTCCACAAAAAACAAAATATCCTTCATGAGCAGTTACAGTGAAAAACGTGTCCTGTTAAGAAGTACGCAGCCAGAGCCCTGCATGCCATGCTTTGAAGACGGCAGTCCACAGTCTGCGGCCCAATCCGCATGAAATAAAGAGGGCCGATACGACGTTTTGGGAATTGAGCAGTTTTGCAGAGCCTTTCAACATCATACGAAACCAGGTCAGACTGTATCTATGAGTTAAAAAAAAACGGACATTAACGGTGTATGCTACAGACATTGAATGCTGTTTAAAAAACGGACATTAACGGTGTATGCTACAGATATTGAAAGTTGTTTAAAAACGGACATTAACGGTGTATGCTACAGATATTATTGAAAGTTTGTTAAAAAGAAAAAAGGTTTGTTACTATTTTACAGTTTGAAATTTGAAGTAGTGTTCTCATGTTAAGTTTTCTTTCATTGTTCTTAGCTGTTGGTTTAAAATATTGTTCACAATGGAGCAGGGTGTACAAGAAACTCGTGTTTTAGAGGAAGTACTTGTAGCTTTAGAATTTGAAAAGTTACATTTAGAAAAGAAATTAGAAACTGAAGTTGAAGATGCAGAAAGAGAGGAAGTTGAAATACGCTTAGGTGAAATTTATGCAGACCTTGAAATACATAAAATAGGTTTGACTCAGCCATCATCCCAACCTGAGACAGAAGTGAGACGCTCAGAGCGTCAAAGAAAACTAACAGAAAAAATGCGTGACTTTAAACAGTCTGAGATAACAAGTAAAGAAAGAAAGTTTATGTCAACATATGTAAACTTTAAAGCAGAGATTCAACTCTCTAGGTCCAAACTTAAAAAGGAATGTTCAAAAGCAGAGTTAACTGAAATGATCAAATCAGTAGGAAAATGTGAATCTGACCTACAGCAAGATTATGTAGCTTTACGTACACTGACTACTCCATCTCAAGATTTCAGAAGAAAGATGGATAGCTGTTCTTCAGTTTCCACTGAAATGATGTTGCTTCTGAAAAGGCGCTATGCAGATGTTGATAAGGAGTTTGATGCAATTGCTGTAAAAGACTCACTCCTTCAGTTGCTTCAGAGAGAAGATGCTAAGTCAATGTATGGCTCAACTGTGTCTAGGGCTGAAAAAAGTAGCCAGAACAGTTATAGTAAGCAAGGAAGTCAGGTATCTGCAAAGAAAGCAGAGGCAGCTGCACGGTTGGCATCTAAACGAGCTGAAATAAGCAGGGAAAAGGAAATTTCTGCCCAAAGAAAGGAGATATTAGCTCAACAAGAGAGATTAAAATTGTTGGAAAAGCAAAGAGATCTTGAGGTTATTGAGGCTGAATACAATGTGTATGCTGAAGAGGAATCAAAATTGAATGCTGAAATAAGAAACAGTGAAGTAAAAGGTACTTTGTCTTTTAGTCAGCTTCCCAAACCTCTTAACAGTCCTCCATACACCCAAGCTATCCAGAGTACGGCACCTCCTAACCTTGAAGGTATAACCAACAAGATCCCAAAATATCTTCCAGTGCCCAAGTGTGATACTAGAGTAGCGTCAAAAGAAAGTGAGTTATCTCTAGTTCAAGCTTTAAAGGAGTCTTTAGCAATGACTAGACTTCCAATACCAGAGCCATTTACCTTTACAGGAGACCCACTGAAGTTTACTGAGTGGAGCACTTGCTTCAAGGCTCTTATTGAGACTAGTTGCACAAATTCAGCCCATAAACTTTTCTACTTGAAGAAATACATTAATGGAGAAGCTCTTGGTGTTTTAGAAGGGACATTCTATCGCAGTGATGAGGAAGCTTACAACCAAGCTTGGGATGCTCTGAACAACCGTTATGGCCACCCATTTGTAGTTCAAAGAGCTTTTCGGGGAAAGCTAAGCAGTTGGCCAAAGATCGGACCAAAAGAGTCACTAAAGCTGAGAGAGTTTAGTGATTTCCTTGTTTCCTGTAAGAATGCTATGCCCCATGTTCAGAGCCTCAAAGTGTTGGATGATTGTGAGGAGAATCAAAAATTATTACTGAAACTTCCTGATTGGGCAACAACCCGCTGGAACCGTCATGTGTCAAAACTGTTAGATGAAGGAAAGGAATATCCAGGTTTCACAGAGTTTGCTGACTTTGTGGCAGAAGAAGCACGAATAGCATGCAATCCAGTTTCTTCTTTGTTTGCCTTAAAGAACACATTTGAAAAACCTGAAAAGGAACAAAAACGTCAGAAAGCCAGTGTCCTGATGACAACAACGAATGTGTCTACAAATGAAAAGGCCACAGCTGCAACACAGATCAACAAAAAATCCAAACCCAACCTTTCCTCAACTCAGAATAAAAGGCAAATTGAATGCATCTGCTGCAGGCAAAATCACTTTATTTACAAATGTGACAAGTTTACAGCAATGTCTCTTGAAGAAAAGAAGCAGTTCATTATCGACAACAATATGTGCTTTGGTTGTCTTCGTGTTGGTCACATATCCAAGAACTGTCAACAAAGAGTAACATGTAATGTTTGCAAGCGGAAGCACCCTTCTCCTCTTCATGAAGATCATCCACAACCAGATAAGCCTGAGATGTTACCGAAAGAGGAAAATGCAGCCACTGTATCATGCAGTGTGAAATTGGACAACAGTGATTGCACTTCAATGATTGTCCCAGTTTGGCTTTCTTCTTCAACAAATAGACCAGAGACATTGGTTTATGCTTTGCTAGACACCCAAAGCAGCAATACATTTATTGATCAAAATGTTTGTGAAAAATTACAAGCAAGAACAGGACCCGTTAAATTAAAGCTGACAACCATAACTGACAGGTGTTCTATTGTGCCTAGTCAAAGAGTGGAAGGACTGAGAGTTAGAGGGTACCACTCACAAGAGTATATTGAGTTGCCACCTACATATACTCGAGAATACATTCCACTTGAGAAAAACAGTATTCCAACTCGAGAGACTGCAAAAAAATGGCCCCACCTACTCAGCATTGCAAATGAAATGCCAGATCTCTTGGACTGTCCTGTAGCTCTCCTCATTGGTTATGACTGTACAAGAGCTCTAAAACCAAGGAAGGTCATACCAGGAGAGGATTATGATCCCTATGCAGTTAAAACAGACTTGGGATGGAGCATTGTGGGACCCATTAAGCCATGGACAGGTTCAGTGGGCGCAACTGGGACCTGCCATCGTGTAATAGTAAAGGAATTGCCATCTATTACACCTGCATCTGTGATTAAAGCACTTGAAGCTGATTTTCTGGACACTAACCCCAAAGAAGGGAACATATCTCAAGAGGACATTCAGTT